GTTTTCACATTTGCTCCACCATTAATCTGCCCACTTCTTTTTTTTTTTTTTTTTTTTTAAATCTGCCCACATTTTTGTCTGTGGGACTATAGGTGTTCCATGCTTGTTCCAATCTGACCCCTTCATTCCCACTGCGCCCCCGTCTGATTTCCTGGATCTTTTCCCTCCACCTCCCTTGAATTTGGTGCACCAGAACTGGTATGGTACCTAACAATTGATAAAATCAAATTGATAAGGGATAGTGGGGTATTGCTATGCTGTCTGTTACAGGATTCCTAAATAGCAAGAGGTCAAAAAAAAAAAAAAAAAAAAAAAAATGCGGTCTGGATTGCTCAGCCTATGTGAGAAGGTGATTAGAAGGGCTGTCATCTACTAGGTGTTCACAGAGATTTCTGGCGCCCATTTGATGGGTGAGGCCGTAGCTCTTGCAGCAGCTGCACAGTTAACCCCCCTTTTTTTTCTGGGGTAGTCAATGCTGGCAGTAAAAGATCTCACTCTCTCTGGACCCAGCAGGTGTAGAAACCCACTAACAGACTGGCGCAACCAGGACTCTTACTACCGTCTTAAAATATACCAAAGCATACCCCTTGGAAGTCAAAACCCCTTTCAACCCCCTTTAAAACCCATGTATATCCCTTTCCCGGCCTTTAAACCCCACGTATACTCCCTCTACAAGGAACTCTGCCAATGGAACATTCAAATATAAACCTGGGCGTTCCATTCGAATATAACGCCCGCGCGTTATATACAAAAGGCCTTCTATCCAAAAAAAACTTTTAAAAAGTGAGTAAGAACAAAATTCTGTTTTTCCTAGGGTAAGTTCGCAGCCAAAGGCTGCGTCTTACCCCGTTGCACTTTGTCGTGTAGTGGGGCGTCCTTTTTATGGAAGTGTCGACGAGTCCTAACAGGGTTTATGGGGAGTCTACAAGGTGCACGGTCGGGGGGCAGGGCACAGACCGGTAGCCGAAACGGTCGGCTCCGAGGTTGGAGCGCGGGCGACCAAGGGCAGGTTGCATAGGTCGTTGCTTGGCTGTGGTGGGCGTCGCCCGGCCTTTCCTTTTTTGGGGTGAACATCTTTTTTTTTTTTCCATTTCAGCCTTCGTTTTTGAAGAGGGGGGGGGAGGGGATTGGGGTTGTTTTGGGGCAGGCGGGGTCTAGTAAGTGATAAGTGACGGAAGGGATGGCCAAACGCCCTTGCTCCACCACTGTGCAAAATGTGATGTGAATGAATGAATCTTCCCGCTAGAACATGGAAGTATACACCGCTAGTTTTTGTCTTTTGTGCATGTGCTGAGTAGTGCAGGGAGGGCCAAAGGTAAGGTTCAGGGCATCTCGAGAAAAAAAAAAAAAAAAAAAAAGAAAGGTTCAGGGCATCACCTCACCATTCTCGAAATTTGCAAAATGGGAATGAACTTCTCGCTAGAACATGGCCAGATGCACCCGCCACATTCTTTGTCTTTCTTTCACATTTCGAGAGTGCTGTGGCGAGGCCCGGAGTCCTGCGCCTGGCTCCCGTTTGGCTGCGCTCCCGCGCCCTGCGCGGTACAGAGTTGAATACAACGCCCGGGTGTTATTTTCCGGTTAAGACAGTAGGGGAGGCCGCTCGTATTGCCCCCTCTAGTAGGGCGTTTTTGGTGGTTCGATCTGCTGTGAACCACTGTGCCCGACAACTGTTTCGAGGCCTGGAGTGATCCAGTCAAACAGGCTCCAGTTTCTCTTTTGCCGGATGACGAGGTGCTGCTTTGATCGAGCACCCGGATAGCCTGCTCTTGAAGGCTCTTGTTGCTGCACCATTTCCTCCATCATCTCGCCATCTATGCACCATGTGCTGCTGCCCTTGCATCTTGGCAGTCGAACTTGCCTACGCCCTCCATCTGACGATTAACGTCCGCGTCCACCTGCTCTTGTTGCTGCACCATTTCCTCCATCATCTCGCCGTCTATGCACCATGTGCGGCAGCCCTCGCATCTTCGCAGTTGAACTTGCCGACGCCCTCCATCTGGCGATTAACTTCCGCGTCCACCTCCACGTTAATCTGCTGCTTGCACCACGAATACACACACCCATGTCCAAAACCCATCCAACTCTTCCACGTCCCTTCTCTGGCTACCTCGCTTTGAATGCCGGGTCAAAAATGATCGCTGCACAATGCAGCGGTGAATTTCTTGCATTCCAACGGCACATAATGATCTCCTCTTGCTCTCTTCCTTCTCCCCTTCGCTGAAGAATTCCGTCACCCTCCCTTGACTTCTCCACACTATCGGCCGTACACCTTGCTCATTGTTGGATGAGGGCTGTCCACCAGCGTCCACAGGGGCAGCAAGTTTTGTAATCTCTCTCTTCCACTTTCTCCACGCCTGCCTCGAAGCTGTCATCAAGGATGCAATGGGTCGCCTTCATCAACAAATCACGTTGCGAAGAGTAGCATGCTCCCATTCTTCCTAGCTACGCCCGTCACGCCAGAGCCAAGAGCCAGGTATATATAGCTTCTTGCAGGCTGTTATGATCCTGGCCAATTTCGAGATACACATCCACCGGAGAGTACAATGCCATCCAATTGCAGAAAGAAATGAATGAACTGGAGAGGAGAGAGAGAGGATTAGAAGAAGAAGAAGAAAAAGTAAGAAAGAAGAAGAAGATGTACACCAGCAAAGACAATGACAAGGCTCTTCTTCGCCCCACAATCTCCTCCTCCTTATCTCCCCCTTCTCTTATTCATACAAGAAATAATAATACAATGTTGAATGACTGATCCAGAATCAATGTCCGAGTCCCTCTTCTACTGCAGGTAACACTAAAGGTCCACCATAGCCATGGCCGCCTCTCCCACTCTTCACTCTCATAGGCCGAGGCTATGGCAGACTACTGGGCTCTGCTCAGATGCCCAAAGGACAACCCAAAGCAGCTATGGCTGCTCTAGCTCAGGCTGCCATGCCTGACCCTGCCTCGAAGCTTCTTGGTGTAGCTCTCCCCAGCTGGGGACTCCCTGCTGCAGCGCCCACCAAGGTGATGAAGATGGCTGCCACCATAGCCAGGTAAGTACCCCTGGTGCTCCTCCCCCTTCCTTCCTTCTTCCTCCTTCCTCCCTCGTGTCCTTCTCCTTCCTCCCCAGCAGCGCTGCTCCAGCTTAGCGCTGCTCCAGCCAGCGCTCCACCAGTGTGTCGCCAAACTTGCACACCGAAAAAGAGGCTGGACTCTCTGCCCGACCCGAAGATATAGTGGCCTCCTTTGCCTCTTGGGCGGTGACTTCCAGGCCGCTCAGCCTCCCAAGCAACCGGTACCTCCTCCCTTTCAGAGGGAAACATGATTGCAGACTCTGATATTGCCCGTACAGGCCCTAGACCCAGACTGGTTGGACTGATATCCGCCTAGACCTAACCTACAACTACTGGGCCTCTAAAAATGCCACTTTTGTCTTCTTCTGCTCGGCCTCCAGTATCTGCACATCTACCCCTTCCAGGTGCGGTACCGGCCTACCCCCTACTTGAGTCTTTTTCCCCGCTGCAACCCCTCAATGTCACGGCCACAGGTAAGTAAGTGCCCTGACGGGCCACACACATACTCATGCCAACCAGCACTCAGACAGGCACGGTCACACACACACCCAAGCCAACCAACACTCAGACAGGCAAGGTCACACACACACTCAAGCCATCCAGCACTCAGACAGACATGCAGTCCAGCAAGCGTGCACACACAGACTTAGTAGCAAGCGGGACACTCAGCAGGGCATTCAGTCTATGGGCAAAACTCAGAAATCAGTTGTGTGTTTCATTCCATGTATGGACGGGTCATCACAAGGCTGTCGAGCCTCATGAACTTCACGGCGAAAGGGCTTGTGCCCGGTCTCTCTCGTCACAAATTTGCCTTTCATTTCTTGTGAAGCAAGTCGCGCACCGGCTAATGGCGGTTCACGAGACACTTTGGGCGTCGCTGCACTACTCTCGAAATGTGCAAAACGAGAGTGAATCTTCCGCTAGAATATGGAAAGATACACGGCCATGATTTTTGTCTTTTGCGCATGTCAGGAGTAGTGCAGCGAGACACTTTGTGAGGTTCCACTGCCCTCTTAAGGGAGGGGTTGACCAACGGAATCTTCGAGAACGCCTCAAGCATAAGGTCGATACAATATGCTTGCTGGACATGGCAACGAGAAGATGTGCGGGTACCACACCACCGACCCCATCCCGGCCAATCTCTTCGGTCACATCTCAAAAAAAAAAAAAAAAAGAAGTGGGAGTGGCATGCCGCTGCACCCTTGCGGCGGTTGCTCATGCAGACACTCTTCCAAAACATGGCACCTTGGGAAAGGAGACCATCACTGTGACATTGTATGTGTGGCCTGCCCCGCCGGGTCGGTCCACTTGTCCAGTTGCAACCTGGCCCGAGGTCCCACTAGCAAAAAGTCTAGGATCGAGCTCCTGCCCTGAATCTGGATGTGTTTTAAGCAGAAATGCAGAACAGCAGTTCAATCTCAATTTCCTGCACATCTCCATAAACTCGTACAGATTCAGGCATTCGATCCGATCCTCTTTGCTAGTGGGACCACGCTCTCCCACCTCAGTTCCTCCGTCCTCGTCAAGTCCCTAGACCCCTTACTTTCTACCCATATCATACTTGGCCAATTGAAACAGCGGCGCTCCATCTGCTGGAAACAGATTGAGCAGCGGTCGCTGGTTTTCCAATTAAAAAAAAAACAAAAAACAAAAAAAAAGAAGAAAAAAAACAAAGAAAGAAAGAAACAGCGGCGCTCCATTCTTCAACGCTTCCACCATCACCTCCCATGCCTCATCCTGTGGAAGGGGATGCAGTGCGCCATCATCCAGTCGTCTATCTCTCCTTAGGTCTCCTCGTGCTTTGTCACAACTTGGCGAATTGCAACAGCAGTCCAGCTGTCGAGGATGATTAACTGTCGCACACGCACCCCACTGAACCAGATGCGGAGACAACGTTTCCCATCAAATCACAAGGTGCATTCTCGTCCTCGTCAGAGCTCCCCATTTCCGGTGCAGCCACGCCCCCAACCTCAGCGCCACTATACAGGCTTCTTCTCCTTCTCGCTCCTTCTCGTTGCACTAGAAGTCCTTAGTCGCACTGCCTCTTAACCTCTTCACTTGCACTTCAATGGCAATGTTGCCTGGCTCTGGTTGCAGTGCCAGAGACCTTTTGCCATGTGGTGGCAATAATTGCATTGCCGCTTCTTGTTCCCCTTGTTTGCTTTCCAGATAAACCCCCGAGTTTGTGATGTGCCTCTTCACAGAGTCGCTGTCACTCTTCGGCATCCTGGAGGGAATAAAAGTGGGAATCAACAACACATTGTTAGAGAATAGCTCACTCTCCCCTCTCCCATTCCCCTTCCTTTGACTCCACCTCTCCCTACCTCCTTCATCAATCAATCAGTCAGTCAGTCAATCAATCAATCAATCAATCGATCAATCAAGCAATCAAGCAAGCAATAAATCAATCAGATTAATTGATTGCATCCTTGATTAATTAATTGCTTGATTGATTTATTGCTTAATTGTCTGGTTGATGAAAGGTCTGATGCAAATAATGGTCCAACCAACCAACCAATCAATCAATCAATCAATCAATCAATCAATCTAACAATCAAGCAAGCAAGCAAGCAATCAAAGATTTCAAAATTAGGCAGCATTTCACCACCCACCATGGGGTCAAAGAACACATCGCCAGCATTTCCCCACCCCGCATGAGATAAGAAAAAATTGGGCAGCATAAGACCTCAATTCTGACAACTTCTCTTACCGCCGGCAGGATAGAGGCTTACACAAGGCCTATTTCGCAAAAAAAAAAAAGAAAAAAAAAGGGCAGCATTTCGCCACACCGCATGGGGTCGACGAGATCCACCGAAAACAATTGCATCATTGCAGTAATTGAGAACGAGAGATTAGTCATCCTCCACCGGGTCACAAAAAAACATCGCTGCTCTTTACTACCCCCCCACGGCGCACACAAGATCCACCAAGGTCACATAAAGAACGCGGTAATTGACGACAAGATTGCTCGATTGATTGATCGGTCGATATCAATCAATCCATCCATCAATCGACCAATCAATCAATCGATCGAAAAATAAAAAATTTGCAGCAAAAAAAATAAAAAAATAAAAAATAAATCCAAACACGATTGCAGTAATTGACAACGTGATTCCTCGCTCCCCATGGGGTCCCAAAAAGCATCGAAGCACTTTGCTACCCCCCCACGAGGTCTACAAGATTCACCAAGGTCGGATTGATGGATTGATTGATTGTTTGATTGATTGGCTAATCAATAAACCAATTCAGTCAATCAATTGATGGATCGGCAATTCAGAAATTTCGCAGCATAACGCCAAAGCATCCTTCAGCAGAAAAGTGACCACAGCGAAAAAAAAATAAAAAAAATAAAAAAAATCCTCACCTCCATAGCGCGGTGCCTCCTCGCCGTCCTCTACCTTCCCAGTCCACTTCCTACTTCTTCCCTCGCTGTCTTCGCGGGATCCTTCCCTCGTCTCCCTCCTCCTACTGCGCCCCCCACTTCCTGCCCCTCGCCCCTCGTCTTCCTCCTCCTCCCTCGCCCTCACTGCCACTTGGCCATAAGAACACCAAAATGCAAAAACGAACAAGTTCACAAACATAAAGCGATCCCTCGTCTCCTCCCTCTCAATCTCCATACGTCCCCCTTGTACATCTATAGCTTCTGCTCCTGCGCGTCCACATCCACCTCCTCATCATCATCATCATCGATGCCCCTCAATTCTCTTCCTCGTTCCCCCCCGGTCCTCCTCCTCCTCGTCGACACCCTCGAAACAGTACCCCTCCATCTTTATGCAAAGACGACGGACTACGTTAGTCCTCAGAAAAGCAAAGGCAAGAAAAAAAAAAAGAAGAAAAAAAACCCCATATCTGTGCCGTCCTTGTCCCCTTCCACCTCTCAACCTTCGTCGTCTCTCCTCCTCCTCCTCCTCCTCCTCCTCCTCCTCCTCCTCGATATCCCTCCTCTTCTTCCCCGTCGCCCCTCGCCATCCAACTCCCGACACCGCCATAGCGGTAATCCTCCCTCCTATTCCTGCTCCACACCCCTCCCCACCCCACTACGGCGGCCATGATCACTTTGAATAAACGCACACAGANCCCCACCCCACTACGGCGGCCATGATCACTTTGAATAAACCCACACAGACACAGAGAGAGAGAGAGAGAGAGAAAGAGAGAGAGAGAGAGAGAGAGAGAGAGAGAGAGAGAGAGAGAGAGAGAGAGAGAGAGAGAAACTGACCTGGCGGGTGGGCGACTTCTCCAGCAGGCCACGACGTGCTCCTCCACTGCGGGCGACGTACTCCAGCGGGCGACCTCTTGCCAATTCAGACGGGGCGCGGGACGGCAGCTGCTCTCAGGTGACGCAAGAAGATCCTGCAACAAGGACTTCCCAACCACTGTGGCTTGACTTGTTGCTGCTTCTACTCTATTTGCCTCTTCGGGTTTTTTTTTTTTTTAACATCAGTGGGAGCGCCGCTTAGGGAGGTGATAAGAGCATCCTCCCTAATGCAGCAAGTGGTTCCCGGTTTTTTTTTTTTTTTTTTTTGTGGTTCCCGGTTTGAAAAGCTCCGTCCATATTGCTGGGGAGCTGCACGTGCAGGAATTTGCCGATTCTTTTCTTCTTCTTTTTTCCAGGGAAGTCCTGTTTTTGTTTTTTTGTTTTTTTTTTTGGTCCAGGCTGCTCCATCGATTGATGGCGAGCGTCACCTGCTGGAAACCGGGTCCAGCGTCCCATTAGATACAACATTGAATGTGAATGTCAGGGCCATGACTCTTTGCCATTCCACTCTGGAGCAATCCGTTTCCCCTTGGGCTGCAGATAATAACCAAAAAATCCCTTCTGGGACCCCTTGTTATTTATATTTAATAGCCTAGCCCTATCCTGGAAAATGCAGCTGTCTTTTTTTCTTTTTTTTTTAATTCCGCTAAATCTCTCTGTGGTCCTGTAATCCCTCCCAGACAACTCCCAGTCTCCGCCGACCCGTTTGTGGACTTTATTTTTTTATACTCCAAATCTGCGGTACCTGATTTGCTGGATCACAGTTACCTTGCAGCTATGCAGTGCACAAAGGGCAAAACCAAAATAAGAAAATCCACACGACATTGTAGTAGGGGGGGGGGGGGGGCGGGGGGAGACGAAAAAGGGGAAAAAAAAAGAAAAAGCAAAAAAAGAATTGTGTTAAACCAATGCGTTTCTTATCGGTGCAAGAAGCAGGCAAGACTACCATCAACGGTCACACTTCGTTTCTCTTTTGTTCTTTCCTCTGTCAGTTTCTTTTTTTTTGTTTCAAGTATGGCAGTCGATGAAATGGGGATCGGATTTCAGGTTATTTATGTGCTCGGTCCGCAGGAAAAGTGTCACGAACAAACCGCCACCGCCATAGCCGGATGCTTGCTTCTTCTTCCCCGTAGCGGTTATAACGATGAATCCCTCAAATTCGGAAACCGGCGGGTGTCCGAAGTACACTGGTGGTCCCCACCCGAAATCGCAATCGTAGGCAGGCAAATGGGACCAATTACTGCAGATAAGGTCCGGTCCCATGAAGTACCTGAAGGGGGGCACGATAGCCGTCAGATCATCCTGTTGCTCGATCCAATCAATGGTGTCACGAAGGTTATCGTCCACCATCTCCTGTACGGATCGATGGATTCTTTGGGCCGTTCGCCCGAGCGACTCCGTCACTAGCTGGCCAGCAGGGGCAGAAGCGCAAGACCAAAACATGGCGTTGCCAAAATACCCTTCAGGAAGACAAGGCCGCAACCGCTTTCTACCGTCGACCGCCATACCTAGTCTGACCAGTTTGCCATCTTCTCCCGACTGCCACGTGTCAGAGCAAGCGCTGGACACGTCAGCACGGCCCTCTCCTTCGGCTTCTTCTTTTTCATCTGCTTTGGACACGTGGAGGCCTCTTGCCCGAGAGACGCATTTCCACAGATGAGCCATCAGGACATCGTTCGTAGTGAATCGCTGAGCTGCTGGGTCGATAGGAAAAACAGAATTGACGTCAACTCTGGTCTCGCCTCCGGCACCAAGATCATCACCACCACCATGGCCACCATCGCCAGCACCTGCATGAGGAGCAGCAGACGAAGAACCCATTAGTATATTTCTCCCGCAGGAAAAAAAAAAACAAAAAAAAAGAAGGAAAGCACGTCTCCTGCAGCAGGAGCAAAAGGAAGAAGAGAAGGAGAAGAGTGGCGAACAAGGAGAGCAGCAAGCGAAGAAGAAGAAGAAGGAGAAGAAGAAGAAGAAGAAGAAGAAGGGGGTGAAGGAGGGGAGAAGAAGGGGGAAGAAGAAGAAGGTGGAGGAGGGGAGAAGATGGAGGGGACGGAGGAGACGCGGGAGGAGGAAGAGACGGCAAAGACTGAGAAGCTAGAGGGGAAGGACGAGGAGGAGGAGAGGACGAGAAGAGGAGAGGAGGGGAGGAGGAGAGGAGGAGAGGAGGAGAGGAGGAGAGAAAAGAGGAGATGCAGAAAGTCGGAATGATGAAACAGGAGGAGACGACCGAGAAGATGGGAGGGGAAGGACAAGCAGACCGAGGGGAGGGGATTGACCAGGGGAAGGGAAGGAGAAGGAGCCGGAAAACAGGAACCGGAGAAGGTGAGCAGACTGAGAAGAGGAGAGAAAGGAAAGGAGGAGAAAAAGATGCGGAAGAAAAACATGGAGGACAAGGAGGAGGAGATCGACACGGAGGTGGAAAGCAGAAGGGGAGGAGAAAGGAAGGAGAAGGGAAGGAGAAGGGAGGGAGAAGGGAAGGAGAAGGGGAGGAGAAGGGAGGAGTAAGGAAAAGGCAACAGCCGACAGTGGAGAAGAGGGACGCGACCTCAGGTAAGGAGGAGAGGAGGAGCGGTTGGAGGAGGAGGAGGTGAGAAGGATAGGGGAAAGCGGTAAAATGACCTCGTCACCTTTGTGCGCTGGCTCGAACGGTGTAATTGCCGTTATGTCCTCCGCTGCCCTCCGTTTGAGAGCGGCCAAGTCCTCGTCGGTGAAATGCCACATCTGCGTCGACATGTCAGGGAGTCCCGGTGGAGTGGGGATTTGGTTATACGCCGCCGCCTCCTTTCCAGATTGCAGACCCCCTTCAGATCCCGGCTTGGCTATGGCGGGATCGGGAGGTGGAGGGGTTGTTGAAGATGGGGCAAGGATTAGGCTCGTAGGAGGGCGCTGGACTCTGGGCGGCGCGCGGGGTTTGAGAAGAGAGCGATCGTGGACAGGAGGCAAAGTCACCTTGGCGGGAGACTTGGACACACCACATCCATTCTGAGAGGTCTCGATCCCTCGCCGCGCGATTTCCGCCCATGAGTTCATGAACTCGGCCATGGGACGCCCATCGGCTATGGCGTGATGAATCACCGACAAGATGCTGACCCCTCCACATCGGAAAGTTGTCACCTTTACCCTTAATAAGAAGTCCTCCCTGTTGATTCCCCTCGCCACACTGTCTTCCCGCACTTTTGCACGTGCGGCCAGAGCTGAAGGGGCCCATCTTAAGTCTATCGGAAGGGAGATGGTATGGGGGTGGCAAGAAAGCCCGCTGCTGGGTTCGTCCAGCCTGCCGTCCGCCATAGCCATCACTAGAAGAGCTCCAGCGTCATTGCACTCGACCCCTAGTGCACCCTTTTCTTTCATCCTCAAACGTCCCGCTAGGACAGGATAAAGAGTGAGTGTCTCCGATAGGGATGTTGCTAGACGATCTACATCCACCAGCTTCGCTGCGTCTGGACCTGGGTAATAGTAAGCGGCCATGCTAATAACACGTGGAATTACCTGGTCCACGTTAGATAGCCATTGCACGTGCGGATCCGTTGGTATGGAGGGGAAAATCACCCGCTCCTCCAACTCCTGCATCTCCATTTCCTCTCTGCTCCCGCCCTGGCTGATGGAGAGACAGCTAGACCGTAGAGCAGAAGCCGGACGGAGGCACAA